GTGTGTGGGCGTGTAATTACCTAAATGTAGTTACAGGATGAGAATTATGCTCGTGGTGTCCCGTCTTGCTAGTACACTTTGTCGTACAACACTTTGAAACTACTGACGGTTTTGGCCTCCACCACCACCTTACTTAGCTTGTTCCAACCGGCTACCACTCTGCTTGCAAAAGAAACTTTTAAAAAAATTTTGGCACCTTTGTTTCCTTAGCTTGAATCTGTGTCCTCTTGTTCGTGATGTTGCTGGTTTCAGGAATTCTTTCCTGTCAATTTGGTCAATTGCTGTAAAAATTTTGTATGTGGTGATAATATCACCTCGTTTTCTTCTATCTTCTAGTTTATGCATGTTTAATGTCTGTAGTCTCTTCTCGTAACTCTTGTTTTTCAGTTCCGGAAGCCAATTTGTAGCATGCCGCTGCACCTTTTGCAGTTTATGTGCTTCTTGAGATTTGGGCACCATACAACTGCTACATATTCAAGTTTTGATCTCACAAAAGTCATGAACAGTTTCTTTAGTATTTCACTATCCATATTAATAAAAGCAAGTCAGAAGTTGGAAAGCGACGCATACACTCTCACAATGTTCTTTATGTGTTTCTCTGGCGACAGCTTACTATCCAAAACCTCCCCTAGGTCTTGTTCTTTATTATAGTTCTTCATTTCCATTCCACATAATTTGTAAGTTGTGTGTAGTCTATTTCCTCCGAATCCACATTCCATAACACGGCATTTATCCACATTGAATTCCATTTGCCACTTTACGCTCCAAGCACTTATTTTATCTATCCTGAGGTTATCTTGAGATGATTTCGGGGTTTAGCGTCCCCGTGGCCCGGTCCTTGACAAATTCTCCTTTTTGTTGCACATCACCAGGAATCAACCCGTAGCAGCTATCTAACTCCCAGGTACCTATTTACTGCTAGGTGAACAAGCGCATAAGGGTGAAAGAAACGCTGCCCATTTGGCCCCGGCGGAGGCGGAAACAAATGAACCCGGAAACCTTGGGACTACGAATCCCGAGCGCTGTCCACTCAGCCGTCAGGTCCTCCTGACGGCTGATCACATTTCTAGATCAACTTGAAGGGCATTACAATCGACTGTGTCTCCTGTCTTCCCCAGTATCTTAGCATCATCCGCAAACATGTTCAAATAATTCTGTATTCCTTCTGGTAGATCGTTTATGTAGACGATGACCATTACTGGTACAAGAACTGAACCCTGTGGTACTCCGCTAGTAACACTCCTCCTGTCAGATACATTGTCTCTGATTACTGCCCTCATCTGTCAGAAAGTTTCTCATCCATGTCAGAAGTCTCCCTGTAAGCAGGAGGCCTGACGGCTGAGTGGAAAGCCGTTCGTTCGATCCCCTGCGGAGGCGGAAACAAATGGGCAGAGTTTCTTTCACCCTGATGTACCTGTTCACCTAGCAATAAATAGGTACCTGGGAGTTAGAGCTGCTACTGGCTGCTTCCTGGGAATGTGTAACAAAAAGGAGGCCTAGTCGGTCGGGCCGGTCGAGGACCAGGCCGCGGGGACACTAAAGCCCCGAAATCATCTCAAGATAACCTCAAGAAGATAGTCGAGGACCAGGTCCTCGTCCTGGTCCTGGTCCTGGTCGAGGACCTCGACCGATAACCTCTAAGATAAGTTGTTACTTGTTCCAGTCTCCAGAACAGCCTCTTGTGTGGGATTTGCCTTTTTAAGGTACAAATAGACACAGTCAATCCAACCATCTCTCTCCTGTACTATCTGTTTGGCTCTTATCATAAAAACTAAGTAGATGTGCTAAGTAGAATCTACTAAGTAGATTCCTGCTATGACAGTATTTAAAAATAAATACTGTAATTGTTCTTTAATTTTGTATCAGTATTATTGCAACCTACCGTGTGTTATTTTTATTGTATAGCTGTATTACGTATGATTTGTATGATAAACGCACAAACCTTTGACAAAATAATATTATTTGAGGTAATCATTTACAGTGATCATCTTGACTTGGAAAGTTTTAGCTAATATCATTTGACAGATAACTAATATACAATTATAATGATAAATGTACAAACATTTATGAATAACATTATGAATTTGAGTTTCAATTTGAACAAATGTAAATTTCCTATGACGATAATGATTAGGCTAATTAGAGATAATGAATATATAGTAACAAATATAGATTATAGAAGTATGTGTCCATTAACAAGATGCGAAATAGGCACTGAACAACAGCAACCCATTCTCCTGTTTAGATAGTAGTTTTTGCAACTATGTGCACCATAGTACAAAGATTGCTGTTCTTAGCAGTTAGATAATAGAACTTTGTACTATTCACTTTATAATCGGAAAAGGGAAGCTGAAAAACAAGGTTAAATATTCCTAGGCGTTCATATGTACTATATTAGGCCACAGATATCCTGTATTAGGCCTAGAAAGGATAGGTTAGTTTAGTTTAGTTTGTCTTTGCAACATAAGTAGATACTAGTTTTCTGGTTTCTCCAACTAAATAGTGCCGATTTCTACTTTCTAATTTCGTTGTACGTCGATATATATATACTATGGCCCTCATCGTTATTATAAGTAAGTACTACCAAAACAGGAGGATGGGCTGATAACAGGGATAAAATTGAGGGTTTGGAGTTCACGAGTGGTAAGCTTGTGTAATCGTAACAGGAGCTGAGGTTGCCTCGGTGTAACATTAGTCGTTTTGTTGAGATGCATTCCGGTATCGAGGACAATAAGAAACGTAAAGTTTGCACTCTATGGCTAGGCGCAGTCTAAAGATGGGTGCTGGCAGCGGCCGGCAGTTTACAGTGCACTGCAATGCAGCTGTTTGTGTTTGTCGATTCACACTTGATCATAAATATATTTCCATTTGAGGCGCGAGCGACCTTCGTTACTATTCAAGTTTGCGGGGCAATGATTGCCCATTATTCAACGAGCAACTCTTTCCTTGGAAATGACATGTCATTGTGATACAGCTGCAGGTGTTAGCGCACGGTCTGAGTGATTAATAACTTGGCTGACTTTCTGTTTTATATAAACTATCGTATTTGCTGACGTATAAGATGCATCACCGCTGAAGACGCAAACTAATGTTACAAGGATATTCTTCAAATCGAACAAAGATAACATTTGGAGAAATCTTCTTCCAATTAAACCAAGATGCAAGAGCACTAGTCAGAGGGATAGAAGCCCTAAACAAGAAAAAATATACAGTATATATAATGTTTGTATTATATGTATGTTGTACCTAGTAGCCAGAATGCAATACTCGGCCTACTATGCAAGGTCCAATTTGTCTAATAAGCTAAGTTTTCCTGAATTTATATGTTTTCACATTTTTTTCTTATGAAATGGCAAAGCTTTCCATTTCATTATGTATGAGTTCATTTTTTTTAATTTGAGTTAAAACTAATGTAGATATATGACCGAACCTAACCTATCTTGAGGTTATCTTGAGATGATTTCGGGGCTTTTTAGTGTCCCCGCGGCCTGGTCCTTGACCATGCCTCCACCCCCAGGAAGCAGCCCGTGACAGCTGACTAACACCCAGATACCTATTTTACTGCTAGGTAACAGGGGCATAGGGTGAAAGAAACTCTGCCCATTGTTTCTCGCCGGCGCCTGGGATCGAACCCTGGACCACAGGATCACAAGTCCAACGTGCTGTCCGCTCGGCCGACCGGCTCCCCGACCTTCCCTACCTATCCTGACCAAACCTATCTTAACCTAACCTAAACTAACATTACTACGTCAATAAATTATGTTCATATTAAAATATAATAATATTTACAATTATTATTTTAAACTTTATTTAAAATTATTATTTAAACTTGATTAAACTTTCGTATATTAATACATCTTTAGAAGGATTGAAGAGATGTATATCATAATATATACATAATAAATACATCATAATATAGATGAATTAATATACGAAAGTACTTAAGGAAATTCCTGTTTCAATTCTTCCGCCGTGGTCTGACACTCACGTTTTTCATCACGTTAATTTTCGTGATTTACACACACATACACACACAAACACACACATATATATACAGGATATAACTTAAAACTCCGCACCCCAAGAAGTGACTCGAACCAATACTGCCAGGAGCACTATGCAACTGGTGTACAGGAAACCTTAACCGCTCGACCATCACGAACGGACATGTCGTGATGGTCGAGCGGTTAAGGTCTCCTGTACACCAGTTGCATAGTGCTCCTGGCACTATGGATTCGAGTCACTTCTGGGGTGTGGAGTTTTCAGTTGCATATACGCCTGGGGACCATTCAGGCTTGTTCGCATATATATATATATATATATATATATATATATATATATATATATATATATATATATATATATATATATATATATATATATATAGAACCATATAATATTAGTGAATACTGGCAGCAGGTTTTCATTTATAAACGTTTCATTGAATATGACTACATATTCTGTATTGATTATTTTCTTGTTTAGGGCTTCTATTCCTCTGACTAGTGCTCTTGCATCTTGGTTTAACTGGAAGAAGATTGGTTTAACCTTCCAGTTAAACCAAGATGCAAGAGCACTAGTCAGAGGGATAGAAGCCCTAAACAAGAAAATAATCAATGCAGAATATAGTCATATTCAGTGAAACGTGTATATATATATATATATATATATATATATATATATATATATATATATATATATATATATATATATATATATAATTAAATTGCATGATCTTTGCGCTTTTTATTTGCCTTGTTTTGCACAACTTCATATGGGTATTAGGAATAATTTTTGCTGTGATTATATATCACAGCTGAGTGATAAATCGTCATAATTTGTGAACCATATATTATCATAATGATTGTCGAGCTGTTTGATATTGCCACCGAAAGCTTAGTCATCAAATTTTATCAGATTATTCATATGAAAAAATCCTTGCTTCAGATATTATTACACAGGTTAAACTGAAGGAAAAGTCGACAGTTAATTTAATTTATTTTTATTCCGTTTCTGTATAAAGCACAAAACATAAACATGAAGTGAAACACAGGAAATGCAAAAATAAATACAATAAAGGTGGGCACGTAAATGGGTACTGAATGGCCTCCATCGAAATGAAGAGAACATGAGAACTTATTAAAAAAAACTGTTCGACCAGAATATACACGTGGAGATCAAAAACGTTTGTATCAGCGACTCGCCGCTGATCGGCCACATTCACAACATTTTTTATCAGCGACTCTTCGCTGACTGACCATATTCACAACGTTTTACTCACTGAGGTAAAACAGCTTCACTGTGAGTCATGCGTTTCAATCCTCACTGATTGCTAAAAGTAATTAAACATTGTCATGGGAAAATCACTCGATCATTTAATATAAATAATTGAGAGAATTGATAACCTGCATTACCAGGTAAAACATAACATGAGAGCACTTAAAACACATTTACACAAATAGATAAAGTCATTCAAAAATATAATACCTTTAGTTGTAACAAAAAATCTTAACCATTGAGCATTATATCTTCCAGTGACTTTATTTGCCAGAAATATTGCTGATAACATACAGTAATAAATATGCAGCGAAGTAAGCAACTTAAAGTACTGTATAGGGAAGCATTTGTCACATTAACCTGCTGTTGTTGATCAGATTGCAACCATCGACTCAAAATTGCTTGCTTCGTCACAAGTAACAATAATAGGGACTAGGTGAGACCAACAGCCAATGAAAATACCCCCACAAGATCTAATTACCAAGGATGTACAGTACAGTCACTATGAGTTTGATTGTTGAAGCGGGTATTTTTATGAATAAAATCTTGTCACACTACACCTACACATTATATTTTGAAACATTTGATTGATGTTACGAACCCTGCAGTTACTGTTCACTCTACATTATGTCAGAAAGGCTTGCCAAGATTGGATTTCTGTGAGCAGTGGTATGTGAGCTGATTAAATTTTTAGTGAAAGGATTTGTATTATAATGAAGTAAGATTAAGAATGGTTTTGTATAGTAAAAATACAATTTACAATCCTTATATGAAACGTCGGCACGTGTTCTTAATTAAAGCACATCCTAAAGTCGTTACACAAAACGAGGTTCTGTCAGGTGTCTTTTGTATAATAAATATAATTTTCATACTTTCTAGTAAATTTACAACATATTTGTGTACAACGTTTTCGGTAATTCCAGAAAAACTACAAGTGGTACTGAGTGAATAATTTCTCCTTACAACTAGAGTTAGCAGTATTGTTATTCCCATCCAAAATCTACTTCTCCGTTATAAGTTCCGAGTAGCTTTATATATCCCAAAGCATAACAATTATAATACCTATATAAAGAATAGCCTCAGTGGTTTGCATAAACATCCATTCCATTGATAACAGAACAATGAAAATGTAAAACGTGCCAAATTAAAGAATAGCAAACATATCTGGACGGAATTCGTAAGTTTAGGTAGTCAGATGTGAGGTCCTCCGAGACACTCATTTATGTTAAAACATAATGATACTTAGTATTGTTTTGCTATTTTGTTAATTTTGTTGTTTCTCAAGGCAATGCTAATATATCCACTTTTAAATTTTCAAAATACTTTCATTGTTTCACAATGAAAATCAATGTTATTTTGTACTATAATTTAATTTTATATAATTTAAAATGCAGAAGTGAAAGTGACCAATGTATATTGGAGTCATAATTTTCATGGTGTTTAATGTGAGTATTTAATTGAAGAATATGACAATTTAAACACAACCACGCAAAATTAAACGTGTATATTTGTAATAGTCTCAGTTTACTGTAATTTATCCTTTGACTTATGAAGAAAGCATTTATATTTTCTCCTTTATGTGAATAAGTTAAGATAATATGTACGTTCACTTACGTTGCGTAAATATAAGATCAAATGCATCCCAGTCTAAGGAGATCTTTCCTCTTGGGAGTTCGGGTTTAGTGCCTTCAGGAATAGCAATGTTGTATCTCTGCAGTAGGGTAGTGATGACGATGAAGGTTATGTTGGTGACCACCTTGGACCCTACACATGCTCGCTTCCCGGTGCTGAAGGGGATGAAGTGAGCAGGTTTCTTCAGGCTGCCGTCAACAAGGAATCTTTCTGGCTTGAATTTTTGGGGCTCGTCCCATAAGTCAGGGGAACTGTTCATTTCGAAGTTATTTACGAATATTATTGATCCTTTCTCTACATAGTAATCTGGAAAGTGAAAAGAAATAATGTAAAATTTTGTTATGCAGTAATTAGCTGAATAATTTGTATATACATAACATTTAGAATATTTTAAAAATCATTACTAATATAATCATGTTGTATTTGGGGTGTGGTGTACAATGGTATCTCACCTCCGATGGTGGTATCTTCGGTTGATACATGTGGTACAATAGGAGATGACGTAAGTCTTAACACTTCGTAAAGTACTGCCTGACTGTAAAGCATATCATGTCTGTCATTGAGAGTTGGGGCTCGTTCCCTTCCAATTTTGCTGTCAATCTGTAAGATAAAAAAAATAACATTTCATTTTACTGTTGATTGTCCGTGAAGAATGCGATTAGGAAATTTCGGAACGGGGGCATATTAGACTGATTTAAAAAATCGGATTTAATTTGAAATATGCAAAGTAAAAAATATGTAAGCAAATATTTTGTTTACAAAAAATTCTTAACAAAGATTAAATAACTGAATACTAACCTCTGACTGAAGGCACTGTAGAACATCAGGATGTTGGAGAGTGTATCCCAGGAACCTCATAACGATGTTGCCGATAGCTGAAGAACCTCCTAGAAGATCCTCCACAATATACAGAATGGTCTGCCAATCCCATTTTTCTTCTGCGTTTTCAACCTAAAAAATTAAATAAAAATCATGAATATTCGTGTAAGCATTAAATAATTGGTAATATTCTGCGATATTGCAATGGTTTAAAAAGTATTAAAAAGAAGGTGTATTGAAGACTTGCAAAAATCATTACAAAATTTAATTTCATAATTCTTAACCATAAGAACAGTACTTTTAACTCACCAGGAGATTTGAGAAGCATGCGTCAACAAGATCACTGATTTTTGTTGGATCACTCTTCAGTACGTTGTATTTTTCCCTGCAGATATTGTCCAAAATGAATTCTCTGATGGAGGCTGTGGTTGAATTAATTTTTTTCAAGTAGGAACCAAAGAAAGGAACTAAAGATGGCAAGAAGTCTGTTGGATGTCCATTGTTAATATCATTGAATATGAAGTCGAAATTCTTGACAAGCTGCTGGAAAGTTTCCTCCTTGTATTCAAATTTCTTGGAGCACATGTAGCCGCAGAATATATTCATTGCGCAATACGACAGCAGTTCCTTAATATTGATTGGTTTGTTGAGCACCATGTCAATCTGGATGGGAGGGGGAAAAAATTGTAAAAATTAATTAAAATTTTTTAAAATCATTATACATGGAAACATTTTTACAAAACGAGTTAAAGTTCATGTCACATTTCAGATTAATACCAAAAAAGACCCTATAGACAACTAACCTCGTTGGTGAGTGTGGGCATCTCGGAAATGACGTTGTCTTCGAAGATCTTGAGACAGTCGTCGTTGCCACGGAACATGAGGAAGGAGCGAGCCAGAGTGATGCGACGCTTCTGGTGCTCACTCCAGTCACAGAGAGCAAGTGCTGTAAAGGAAAAGAAATTGTATGTTAACTTCATTGTGCAAATTACAGTTTTCTAGTTGTATTTTTCGGAGAAATAAATATCTATTAAATATTTAGGAATATGAGCGAAAACGTTTCTTATTAAAATGTCTTAATGCTTGATGGAATTAATGAAATACAGCTGTCAGTCAAGATGCCTCACAGTCTTTGAAAAGATGCTAAAAATATCATCGGATTCGCATCCATCCATCTCCCGACCAACTCTCTGGCGTATCGCACCGAGACATCTCTTCTGACCTTGAGTCTCATTACCAATGTCACCAGTCCAGATTCTTAGTGATGGCGGACCCTCCCCCCACCCCCCCTCCTTCCTCCATCCTTCCCACAAGGGGCCCGACCTTCCTCTTCCTTTCCTGTCCCAACATCCACTTTACATACGTTTGCCTTCTCTGTGACCCAACTGACCTAGGGATTTCATTAGCCTGCGATTCCTTTGTTCCGTCTCCTTAGACTTACGACACGCCACAATGTGAGGAAGATTAATATATATTTAATATGAAATAAATTATGCGATAAACTATTTTATTTGAATAATTTTTAACAATTTAAACAATATATGAATAAAAAGCTTGTTATGCACTGAAACGGGAATACTAATTATGTATAAGCCAACCAAGAGGGAGTCAGCTGACTCGGGTAATATAATTTTCAGTGGGTCCGGGGGGTGTGGATGTTGCTAGGATGCTCACGACCACTTCCTTCGTTGCTCCTCTACGCCTAGCTTCTTGAGCAGTAACGATTGGTTTTGTAGCTGAACCATTTCCCATACATAACTCAATTTTTTCCAATTTCATATTTGACTTAAAAAAATGAAGGCCTAATAAAAACTATTATGAGCGTATACTTTTATGATTAATTAATATATTAAACACCAAAACCAAACAAAATATAATACTTATTAAGGAACTGACTTTGTGACGAAAAAAATAGTGAAGATCCGAGAAGAATGATAAACAAACCTGGTAGACACCAGACGACCTCGAGACTAAGGCGGTCCTTTGCCATTCATTGTCTGGCCGTGTCTGGCGCGAGACCTTGGCTGACTTCTTTTTTTTTTCAGTTCTTGCTATTATCATCTTCATTGAGAAACCGTATATACTTAACTGTCAATATGCATCCGGTAAAAATATTTAATTTATTAACGAATTATTATGAAAATGAGCAGCATATTGGCATATTTCGTAAACGGAAAACTTTGTTATTGTCTTCTCATTATTGGACATATGGGGCCTTATTTCAGCTGGTTAATTAATTGAAGTATATAATGTGCAGATCACCTTCAATGTTCGAGCACCATCTCCTTGCTCTCCACCTCACTCAACAGCACTATTCTCTTCCTCCCTCCTCTCCGCGTAAGCACATTGCGGGCGGCACACTCCCCAAGACTTTATTACTTTACCAACACTCCATTTGGATAGTTAAATATTGTATCTCGCGGACCTAGATAAGGGTAATAACTTTATCTCTATATTATACCAAGGATTATCGAGCAGTTGGATTTACAATAGGGGAGTTTTATTCTAATGTTATGGCAGAAATGGTTTCATAAGTAGGAATATTGATGAATGTAAGCAAGAATGAGTTTAGGGAATTGAAGAGCAAATGTTTTGCACGCCACGAGAGAGTATCAACTGGCGGGAAATGAAACCAAGGTCACCAAGGGCCACCTGGTAAATCTAGATTCCCCACACGTTAGTTCTATCCCGCACTAAAAGTGATGGTAGCCTAGTTGCTTTGGCGCCCCCCTACTGTGCCAGGTAAGTCCACTACGGGCTCACCATAGCCTTTGCTACTTGCAACATTTTGTTCCGAGTAGCTGAATCGAAAACAACAACATAGTTGCCCTAGGCATTGAAAGTGATAACAGCCTAGCTACCGAAGGCAGTGCAGCGATATTAACCTAGTCACGGGGGGTGGGGGGCTGAAATAGATTTTAGCTTAGCCACCGTGGATACTGAAAGCAATATTAGCCTACTCACCGTGAGCACTGAAAGCTATATTAGCTTAGTCACTGTGGGTATCTGGCAACTTCGCATAAGGAATTTATACTGATTGCACTTTATAATTATGCAGCCCTAATTACATTGAATGCATTTTCTAAATTTGTTAATTTTCCCTGCGCAATCTTAATATACTTAAATATATATTGTATATTGTGCGAGTGCTTGAAAACAGATTTCAGGTAATAATTGTATTAATATAATAATCCATAAGCAGTTCCTGCAATTAAATGCGCGTATAAGAACCATTTTCTTGAATTTACATGCGCAAACCTAGATATTTCAGCGTAAGGAAAAATAGTGACCACTGATATGGCAATGCCGCAGAATCAGGTTCTGCCCCACCTGTCATTGAAACTTCCAGTCAAGTTGTACAGATTTTCGTACAGATATCTATTTGAACGAGTTACATAAGTGTTTAATAAGTCCCTAATTCTGGTAAGCATAGCAAATAACTGAAGCTTTTGTGACACTTGTTTTTGAACTGGCTTATTTATTAAGTGTAACCGTAACAAATGTTCATCCTTGCGCGCAAAATGGAAGTGATGTGTATTTAGGAATCTGAATTTGAGCGTTAGTATATGGAAACAGACTTGAATAACGGTGTTAGGCGATGCCTGGACAAGTTTATTTTTTGTTGTTTACGAAAGTGAAACTCTTTTTCTTAATTTATTCTCTGAGGTATTTATTGACTTCCTCTTGAATATCTTAGGAATCTTCCCTCTAAAGCAAATTCTGTTTTTTAATAACAACAGTTAAGTAGTAGTGTATCTGACTAGTTCAAGGTGAAGGTTAACGAAAAAAAAAAAACAGAGTTGGTATTTCCGCAAACAGTTTCTGAAAACTTTTGCATCATAAGACACAGCGTTTAGCTAGTTAATAAGGAACTGGATGGAAGTTTTGAAAGGAACTGTATATACCGTACAATATATTGACAAAATACCTTTAATATAAATAACTTGAAATTATTTAGATGTTTGGGAATATTTTTGAAGGGCCTTGTATTGATCGGAAGACTGTAAGAATATATTAAACTGTTTACTAAAATAAATTTGGAAAAGATGAGATATACTTACAGTGCTGACGGTTTCCACCAAAGTATAATCGGAATCGTAGGATGTCTGGGCGAGCGTCGAACTTGTTAGCCTTGGTGATGAGAACCTCCTTGATAGTTTCGTACGTGCCGACGACAACGGCGGGGTTACTGCCCATTGAGAGAGAGTAGACGGGTCCATACTTCCGCCCTAAAGCAGAGAAACCTTCATATGGACAATCACTGTATTTGGAAAGAGTATACAAGTTGCCAAGAAACGGAATTGGAGTCGGGCCAGGTGGCAGTGGTGGTCTAGCGATCTCCAGGTCGTCACTTCTCTTAGGTTTCGAAGACGATGTTTGGTCAAACTGCTGCTGCTTTCTTCGTCGGCGTACGGTTTCTTGTGCGGCCACGGCAACCAGAACCATCATCAACAACACGATAGTTGCGGGAGCCAGAACGAAGACCATCTTTGCGAGCAGTTCTGAACCTGAGCAGTGACTGACAATGTTCTCTCCTTCTCGCCACTATTTATACGGAAGACACCGCTTGGGGCTTGGTAGTAGCGACGCTAAAGAGTACCTCAGAGCTTTTTTTCAGAGGAGGTTGGATTCAAGATTTTCTCGCAGCGATGATTGGCTAGCGGCCACCAGGTAGGCGGAGCAAAACAGAGAACAGATTCAGGTGCGAGCAGGTAACACTCCGAGGCTGGCCACGGCTTCACTCACAGGCCGGGACCAGCCTCAGGTGAGCAAACACTACTCTAACTTGTATTCATTACCAAGTTAATAATTTGCCGTATTATCTTAGCATAGTTTTTTTTACTCCCGTTAATCTACGTTCCGCAACCTTCCAAGTGACGTTCATTGGATTCGCCTCCTTTTGTTTCTTTTTTTAGTTCAGTCTTTTGTGCACAGTGTGTTACATTACTCACACTCAACTTCTGTAAACAAAATTGTCAAATGAAACTGCACTTTGTTATTAGAAAGGAATAAATTTCAGTGTAATTATTTACCGGATGGAAAGCTCTTTGTTAATGATAAACGACGTTGATTTTAACATCAACTATATACTGTATGTGATTGCCATCGAAAAACAATTGTGTATGGAATTGTATAATATAACAATATGTATTATATACATATATACATAATATTGTATATATTATATATAATATATACAATATGTATTGTATAATATAATTGTATAATATATATATAGAATTGTATAATATTATACAATTGTATAATTTGTATTTCTTAAGAAATACAAATTAACTTACGTCATTATGTTAGCTATTTGCTAAACTTTCAGCAATTTTCTAAAAAAAATATCGACGTTGTATTATATGATTTGATATATTTCCACTTCATTTATTCTTAGTAAGCAATTTATCAATTTAAGTCTTTGAAAAAATATTGAGCTTTAAGACTGTACAAACTGTTTTGATTTAAGATTGCAAATACTTTAAGACTACAAAATAACAGTTGTTGGGTAATAGATGTTGTTAAGAGATGACTCCATATGTATAAATACATGATACATACAGTATCTTAATAAACGAATTCGGCATATCCGAGGATAACGCAAAAATGATCGAAATACCGAACACGACCCTTGACTAACACACAATTATCATTAATAATGACATGATTACATCGCAAACTTAATTGAAATGTGGTCAGGAAATTGTGTGATTTTCTTTATGGTGCACCAGTTATCATGCACTGCTGTGTGGCCCACTACTTATCTTACACTGTTCTATGGTCCACCAGTTATCATGCACTGCTGTGTGGCCCACTACTTATCTTACACTGTTCTATGGTGCACCAGTTATCATGCACTGCTGTGTGGCCCACTACTTATCTTACACTGTTCTATGGTCCACCAGTTATCATGCACTGCTGTGTGGCCCACTACTTATCTTACACTGTTCTATGGTCCACCAGTTATCATACATTGCTGTGTGGCCCACTACTTATCTTACACTGTTCTATGGTCCACCAGTTATCATACATTGCTGTGTGGCCCACTACTTATCTTACACTGTTCTATGGTCCACCAGTTATCATGCACTGCTGTGTGGCCCACTACTTATCTTACACTGTTCTATGGTGCACCAGTTATCATGCACTGCTGTGTGGCCCACTACTTATCTTACACTGTTCTATGGTCCACCAGTTATCATGCACTGCTGTGTGGCCCACTACTTATCTTACACTGTTCTATGGTCCACCAGTTATCATACATTGCTGTGTGGCCCACTACTTATCTTACACTGTTCTATGGTCCACCAGTTATCATACATTGCTGTGTGGCCCACTACTTATCTTACACTGTTCTATGGTCCACCAGTTATCATGCACTGCTGTGTGGCCCACTACTTATCTTACACTGTTCTATGGTCCACCAGTTATCATACATTGCTGTGTGGCCCACTACTTATCTTACACTGTTCTATGGTCCACCAGTTATCATACATTGCTGTGTGGCCCACTACTTATCTTACACTGTTCTATGGTCCACCAGTTATCATACATTGCTGTGTGGCCCACTACTTATCTTACACTGTTCTATGGTCCACCAGTTATCATACATTGCTGTGTGGCCCACTACTTATTTAACACTTCTATGGTCTCACCAGATATCGTACACTGATGTGTAGCCCACTACTTATTTTACACTGTTCTATGGTCCACCAGATATCATACACTGATGTGTAGCCCACTACTTATCTTACACTCTTCTATGGTCCACCAGTTATCATACACTGATGTGTGGCCCCACTACTTATCTTACACTCTTCAATGGTCCACCAGTTATCATACACTTATGTATGGCCCACTACTTATCTTACACTCTTCAATGGTCCACCAGCTCTCATACACTGCTGTGTGGCCCACTACTTATCTTACACTGTTCTATGGTCCACCAGTTATCATACACTGATGTGGCCCACTACTTATCTTACACTGTTCTATGGTCCACCAGTTATCATACATTTTTGTGTGGCCTACCGCTTATACATTATTCTTTAGTCCATCACTTATATACTGCTCCACCACCTTTCATATACTGTTCTATGGTTCATCACTTATCATACACTGCTCTATGACCCACCACCTATCATACATTGCTCTATGGCTCACCGCTTATCATACACTGCTCTGTGGCCCACCACTTATCATACACTGTTCTATGGCCCACCACTTATACACTGCTCTATGGCCCGCCACTTATACACTGCTCTATGGCCCACCACTTATCATACACTGCTCCATGGCCCACCACTTATCATACACTGCTCCATGGCCCACCACCTATCATACACTGCTCTATGGCCCACCACTTATCATACACTGCTCTATGGCCCCACCACTTATCATACACTGCTCTATGGTCCCACCACTTAGCATACACTGCTCCATGGCCCCACCACTTATCATACACTGCTCTATGGCCCACCACTTATCATACACTGCTCCATGGCCCACCACCTATCATACACTGCTCTATGGCCCACCACTTATCATACACTGCTCTATGACCCCACCACTTATCATACACTGCTCTATGGCCCCACCACTTATCATACACTGCTCCATGGCCCACCACCTATCATACACTGCTCTATGGCCCACCACTTATCATACACTGCTCTATGACCCCACCACTTATCATACACTGCTCTATGGCCCACCACTTATCATACACTGCTCCATGGCCCACCACCTATCATACACTGCTCTATGGCCCACCACTTATCATACACTGCTCTATGACCCCACCACTTATCATACACTGCTCTATGGCCCACCACTTATCATACACTGCTCCATGGCCCACCACCTATCATACACTGCTCTATGGCCCACCACTTATCATACACTGCTCTATGACCCCACCACTTATCATACACTGCTCTATGGCCCCACCACTTATCATACACTGCTCCATGGCCCACCACCTATCATACACTGCTCTATGGCCCACCACTTATCATACACTGCTCCATGGCCCACCACCTATCATACACTGCTCTATGGCCCCACCACTTATCTTACACTGCTCTATGGCCCACCACTTATCATACACTGCTCTATGGCCCCACCACTTATCATACACTGTTCTATAGCCCCACCACTTATAAATATATCGGCATTGGAGGTACGCGGCATAGATATATATAGACATTAAAAAAAAAAGATTAAACCAGTTCTTCAGTGTAGGCGAGAGTATGCGGTAAGCGAATTTGGGCGTCGCGGGTAACAGGTGTTCCACATGATGTTGTTGTTGTTAAAGATTTGCTACCTGGAACGAAGTTCGAAGTAGCACGGGCTATGGTGAGCCCGCTTGGGTGTTCCACAGAGTCTTATGTTTATATATGTTCGGTCACCTGTAGAGCATAACAGAGCAACTTTAATGAGATATATAATAATATCTTAAAAATGAACGTATATAGTTTATATAATGGTTTCTTTTGCTTCCACAATATAGTTTATATTGGCAGACTTGTAGACAGATTCGATTCTACCTTATTTAGTTACACACACACACACACACGTGTAGCCGGATAGTTGTTATTCTTACATGTGTACCTGGATAGTTGTTATTCTCATGTGTAGCCGGATAGTTATTCTTATGTGTTTACCTGGATAGTTGTTATTTTTATATGTAGCCGGATAGTTGTTATTTTTATATGTAGCCGGATAGTTGTTATTCTTGTGTATTTACCTGGATAGTTGTTATTTTTATGTGTAGCCGGATAGTTGTTATTTTTATGTGTCCCTGGATAGTTGTTATTTTTATGTGTAGCCGGATAGTTGTTATTTTTATGTGTAGCCGGATAGTTGTTATTCTTATGTGTAGCCGGATAGTTATTCTTTTATGTTTACCTGGATAGTTGTTATTCTTATGTGTAGCCGGATAGTTGTTATTCTTATATGTTTACCTGGATATTTGTTATTCTCATGTGTAGCCGGATAGCAGTTATTCTTATGTATTTACCTGGATAGTTTTTATTTTTATGTGTAGCCGGATAGTTGTTATTATATGTACTTACCTAGTTTTGCTTGCGTAGGTTGAGCTCTGGCTCTTTGGTCCCGCATACCTGGATAGGCGTCATTCTTATATGTGTACACGAATAGGCATTATTCTTATATGTGTACACGAATAGGCATTATTCTTATATGTGTACACGAATAGGCATTATTCTTATGTGTACACGAATAGCTAGATCTGTTGTTGAAAGTACATGTGTACTCATAGAGCTCTTACTAAACACCCACACACACACACACACACACACACACACACACACACACACACACACACACACACACACACACACACATGCGTCCTTGGAGAATTAGTGTTACACTCACATGTGCACCTTCAGAGCTTCCGTCACGCGTACATGTATACCGAGAAAACTATTATTGCACCTACGTGTTTCCTTAGGCAGTTATCGTTACCCGTACATGTGTACCCAGAGTAGTAGTGGTACACGCACATGTGTACCCAGAGATATTTCTAAGATTAATAGCAGTTAGAGGCTCTCACATACATATTCGTAAACCTTTATTATAGATAACTATACACATACACAGTACTCACAC